TTGAGTTGAGTTTATTTTGTCTTTTAAAATTACCCTCTTTCCTAAACGTGATGGTCAGGAGAGAGAGATCGTCGATCCTTTATTTTGATAATTTTATATATTGATCTTTAAGAAAGAATAAACTAAATCATTTATTTTTACAAAATTTTTTTTTAAAAAAAAAAAGTAAAAATGCTAGGTGAATCAACTTTTTAGCTTTTTTGAGTTCTTAACCCTTATGGATATTCCTTATAGATTTTATAATTGTATAAAACTAATATATCTAACTTTGTTGTTTACTTAATAAAAAACTTTGACTTTTACTGACTACTTTTTCTATAGTTCTAAAATGCTTTTTAAACTATCACTACAAGACTGTGACTCTTTTTTAACTTTATTTCAATGTTCAACAATACATGTACAGTACTCCAAAAAGGTTTTTTATCAAATTTAATATATTAATTATATCATTTTTTTGTAATTCAGCTTTTTGAAAAGTTTGGTTCAAATGATTATTAGAAAGAATATAAATTAAATTATACAAAAATAACTATTTATTATTATAGAATAATGAATATAGTTAAATAATTTACAAACTTTTGAAGTCAGAGAATTTGTTTTTTTTTTTTTGAATTAAAGTCTCTGTTTATAGAAGTTGATGTTTTTATTTATATATTTGGACATAGGTGCCTCCAGGGGCTCTCTTACATTGGAGGTTACAACTAACCACATGTGTACTTTTGGTGTCTAATTTAAGTAGTCTGATTATACATTACTATACAGGTTTTATACTAGGTGCCATACCTGCAAGCCAACTACAGGTCTTGTCTATTTAAACTCTCTGTATATGTAGTCCACTATGTCTTACGGGAATATCTTTAAGGTTACACCTATCCAAAGTACCTAATGTTTTCAAGTACTCTTAGGACTAGTTTATCCTCAACAGGAAACTTACTAGAACCTTTTGTGTCCTATACACAGCTAATCTAGTTTTATGCAACATGCTATAGTTATCTAATACTTGCAGTCATAAGAGTTATCTGTTTAACTACTACATTACACTATTTCTATCCTTGTAAAGTTCACTAGAACCCCAGTACCTATCATCGTAATGTCTTTTTTATCATTTCTTACTAACCACTACTCAGAACTGACAGGACTCTCCTGACTTCCAATCCAGATAGCCCGATATGATATACTTATATATCCTTTTCCATCAGTGATTCTGGCAGCCTGGTTGATCATGTGTTCCTCTACACATCTTGACATTCAGTTTATCCACCTATCCCTTTGGGGGTATTTCATAGGCTTTCATCAGTCTGACCATACTGTCAAAAGTTTATGCTACTTCTTTACTCAGGAATTTTCAAGTAGGCTTCTAACTCTTCAGTTTCTTAGTTTACTGTGCCCGGTGGTCTTATCATGGGTTTGCATTGAAGTCTTATGCAACACTGGTTATTAACATTCCTCTATGTACATATAATGTTACATTTGGCATAGATGTTCTGAGCTCCCATTTGAGATAGTGTGACTTAAGGTTACAGATACACAAATTTAACTAATCATTAAGAGACAGTTTGCTATAACATAGATTAATTTCCAAATTTTATCGTAGGTGGGATTTGAACCTTAAACCTGCCACTTGGAGAATGACAACCTAACCACTACACTAGGATCACCATCCTCTTGAAGTTAGAGAATTTGTATCTAGATAACTTTATAATTTATACTATTATTTCAATTTTATACTTTTTATATATAATAAAATATGATTTAGCTTTATATCTATCTCTTATACTTTTTTTATCCTTATGACTTAACTTATATGTTAGACATAATGACTTATTAATAATTTTATAATAATCAAATTTTTTATTACTAAATTCTATATATACTGTATATCAGAATATTAATCTACTATTTTATTATAAAAAAAGTATGATTATGAGTTTGTATACTTATTTAAAACATAGATGAGATCTTAGTTTTTAGTAAAATATTATTAGCTAATACACTTTCAAATAAAGCCTCTTTAGGATAAGATACTATAAATATATTTACCTTAGTTTTTAGTAAAAATTTATAAGACAATAGAAATAATAAGATAGAAGTTGTTTTTAATTTACTTACTTTTGATCATAAAAAATTCTTTATGATTTTCAAAATTATATAATCTATAATATTTTGAATTTGTTAATAACTGAAACTTGAAATAGTATTTGCACTATAAGAAACCAGTTTAATTTTCTTTATTTTTAGTGTATTAAATAGTTTATATAATTTTCTAGCTCTAAGAATTTTTTAATATAAACTTAGTTATATTAAATAGAAGTTGTTTGATTCTTAATATACTATAAATATTATAGTTTTTCTTTTAATGCTATTAATAACAATATCATTGATTTTTTGCCATATTTTTCTATAAAATAATACCAATAAACTATTCTGATTGAATAGCTTTATAAATTATATAAACTATGCTTTTTACTGTAATTGAAGATGAGTCTTGATCTTGAAGCTGATTCAAGATTATAAGAATAGATATAGATATTGAAAGTTGTTGTTTTAACTTCTGTTTAGTAATTAGATTTTTATCCAACTTGATAATAAGATTATCTGGTAACTTGGATATATTAACTAAAGATAATTCTTGAGTTTGAAGCTGTTTTTCTTAATCATGTTGCTTTATCTTATTACTAACCCCTTTCTTATTTTCTAAATCTAAAAAATCATCAACTTCTTTATCTTCTAACATTTTGAGTTTATCAGAACAAGTGTTGACCATAGAATAATTCATTTTTTAATGAGTCAAGAAATCTGTAAGCTCTTTATTTTCTAACAAGTTAGGTTTTGTACAGATAGGTTGATATGTGTTAGAATTGAATATGTTATTAAATATATTTTCTGAATTTTTAGATGAAGATAAGTCATTTTGAAGCATCTGTTTAGGAGTGTTATTTGGATTTATTTTAGAAGAAACATTAGTATTAGCTGAAGATTGTTTGATTTCATTTATATCATTATCTAATTTGGCAATAAGACTAATCTTTTCTTTATCTTTCTGTTTCAGATTTACAAATCTCACTTCATACTTTTTTAAAACTTGCTTCAATTTTACATTTTTAGCTTTAACCTTGATATTAATAATCAAGAGTATAACATTCTTCTCTCTAAATTCAGTAATCTTGGATACAAGCTTGAAATTCTGTTCTTCTAATAAAACAATTTTAGACTGTGTATTTACCATTGTTTTATACAAGATATAGATATGTTCAAAAGTTTAAATTCTCAGACTCGAGCGATTTAATCAATGGCATACTTAATTAATAAAAATCATGTACTATCAAAAACCATGAAGATTTTCTTCACGATCAGAAAATATTGATTTCAAAATAATACTTTCACCAAGAAAAATTCACAATTATATATAAGTTATACATCGATATCAATACAATAAATTCACTCAATATACATATGCAAAATTAAACTGATTATGTATAGGAAATCGAGCAATCGAAGCCAACTTTATTGATATAAAAATAAAATAAACCAAATTACAAAATAAATAAAAATTATTCTATGTCGGTGTCTACAGTTGAAAAGTCTTCTTTTTGCCGTTCTGATTTAGGTACCGGTGCATGATATAATAAAGATAAGTTAGTAATTAAAATATTGCGCAAAACTAATAAAGTTTCTATAAATCTAGATACAACTCCTTCAGCTGAACATTGTACAGGAATTTCAACGGGTTGGAGATGATAGTATCTATGTACATTAACTTTATCTCGAACAAGAACATTCAAGTGAAATATATTCCCCGCTACTTGAATACCTACAATACCAAACTGTTCTTTATCCGGATTGAGGCTTTGGCGTACCCAATAAAGGCCATCATTTACCTCCCGCCATAATTTTATTTCATCATCTGTCTTTTTTTGTGGACTACAGAATAGGCGGGAGAATTCGGCATACATAAGTTCGAATGTCGTTTCAAGGTAATCTCCTAGAAACATAATATCTGGGCGCCTTCCCCTACCCCCCTCCCCTTTTCGATTTGCACTAGCAATACTTTGTTTTTCTGATGTACTGATAAAAAATTAATCTCCTACGGGAAGATTTTTTAAGGCAACTTGGATTAACAGCACAATCACGGTTGATTGATACGTTCCTTCATTTAATGTTTTTGCGACTTCAGGCTTGAATGCCGGGTTATTCCAAATATTTTTAGAACGATCAATATTTCTTTAACAACACGTGAAGTAGTTTCTTAGGACTCTTTCCAAGATTTATTATGCGTCCATTTAGGCTTTAATTTTTCATCACACCTTCTAAAATCTTCTATAAACTCTCTACATAGCTCCTGAACTATTGGCCTTTGCGCTGGTACCATATTGCGAGAAATTTTCTAAAATGAAATATACATTATTAATAATGATGAAAAATGCGAACACCTATATGAAATTCCTTACATTAAATCCTTTTTTGATATCCATAGGAAGATTCTTCACTATATCTGATTCATCGCTAATAACTTGGCTTGCCAAAGGATCCTTCCAGGATAATTCTTCAACAGGTTTCTTAACCACGTCGGAATATAAACGTTTATAGAGGGAGCTCGAATCTCTATTAAGTTTGCCTTTTAGTTTTTCTATATTATCCTTAATCTGATCAAAGTTGAGTGGTTTCTCTTATTTATTTTAACAGCTCCGAGATCTCGTAAACTACAAACTTCTTCAAAAGCAATTCCAAACTAAAAAAATATAATGTATTAGTTTCAGTTATATAAAAAACCACATAATTAAAAAAATACATTATATATCAGTACATATGCAAAGTTTTCATTTAGGTGTGGCTAGTGTTGTTAGGCGAAACCTAAACCTGGCGAAAGACGAAAGACGAAACTCTCCGGCGAAACTGGCGAAACCTGGCGAAATTGGCGAAATTGACGAAACTGGCGAAACTTGGCGAAACTGGCGAAATCGTTTTGGGCAAATGGCGAAACCTAAACCTGCGAAAGACGAAACTCCCGGCGAAACTGGCGAAACTTGGCGAAACTGGCGAAACCTGGCGAAACCCGGCAAACCCTCAAAATTCAAGATCAAATCCTCTAATACTTTGGAAAAGACTAAGCCATGTTGATGAATAAAATATCTTGCGTAGCTATTAAGTACAGCATGTGGCTTATATAAAAAATGTATAAACAAAGCAATAGCTTTTTGTTTGTATTCAAATACTATTAAAAGAAAATTAGAATTC